CGATTGGGCTCTTGATCTTCAACCCTAAACCCTAAACCCTGCACCCTAAACCCTAAACTAAACCCGGACCCTAAACCCCGGATGCGAAGGAAACTGAGAGCACAAGGAGTCTGTTCTGGGTTGAGGCATCTGCATTCACCCTTGGTTCTTAGTAGGGAATGCGGGAATGAGGTACCGTACATCTATATATATATATATGTATTTATGGGGGGATATAGGGTACCTCATTCCCTCATTCCCTGCTAAGAACCAGCCAGATTCCGGCTTGAACATGTCTCCGGATCTTGGTCTATAGCTTGGTCAGCCGTGTATATACTTGCAGTAGGTTGAAAGCACAATAGGTCTTTGCCCTTTTTGCTGATCGCATCTTCGAAGACTGGCTGACCAAACAACCTCCCGACACCGACTCCCTAAGCTCCTCACACTTTGACCTCAAACCCCACGCCTCAAGTCCGCGTCAGCCCCAAGCCTCAGGCTCCAAACCACAAAACCCCAACCCCAAACCCTAAGCCCTAACCCTAAATCCTAAGCCCTAAAACCCCACCCCCCTTCTCAAAGCCTAAACCTCATCACCGGCAGCCCAAACCCTGAGGCTTTTGGATTTCTAGTACGTGCCTGGCCCTGAGAAATTGAAGGTAGGATTTTAGGGTTTTAGGGTTTTATCGGGTCTTATAGGGTTTTAGGGATTTAGGGATTTAGGGACTTAGGGTTTTAGCGTTTAGGGTTTTAGGGTTTAGGGCTGTCTCCGATCTTAGCCCCTACACGGGGCGCATGCTCACGAAACTCGTGACAAGAAGGTTGATGTGGTGTTGAGGGTTTAGTTACTGCGTTCAGGCGCTGGGGCAGGACCAAACAACGGCATTTAAAATAATCTTAACGGCTGAACAGTTGGGTCAGAAGCGGGTTAAGCCCTAAACCCTAAACCCTAAACCCTAAACCCTAAACCCTAAACCCTAAACCCTAAACCCTAAACCCTAAACCCTAAACCCTAAACCCTAAACCCTAGCAACCCTTCAAGCCCGAGGGCCCAATGCCCCTGAATTGTGGAACAAAGGCCTTTTTAGGGTTCAGGGTTTAGGGTTTAGGGTTTAGGGTTTAGGGTTTAGGCTTTAGGGTTAGGCTCCTTATGGAACTCATGCAGCTTATGGTGTAAATGTCTAGTTCCCATCCAAAAAACTCTAGAGCTTGCAGCTTGCTTGCCTTGTTCTGGTGTTTCGACTGCATGTTAGGGCGACTTCTATCTGGATTCGTGACGTTTGCAGCGAGCGTTCTGATCGCGATCTGCTATTCTCGAGCCGCAAGTTGTCAAGATTGAAAAGCCTCCTGCATTGCTGCCCGTCCCTCCTTCGGAAGGCATTTTTGCAGCCATGGCGGATCGTGAGAAGCATGTGTACTTTGCCACTCGGCTGTCAGCGGGGTTTACTTCGGCATGCGTGTGCTTGAGCCCCGGGTCGGGTAGGGTGAGCCTCTGCATCTGCTCTCGAGGCCAAGCTTGCCGAGCAGGCGGAGCGGTACGACGAGATGGCCGATTACATGAAGAATGTGGGCAATGCAGGCCCTGAACTCTCCGTAGAGGAGCGCAACCTGTTGTCCGTGGCCTACAAGAACACTGTGGGCTCTCGCCGTGCTGCCTGGCGCATCATCACCAGCGTCACACAGAAGCTGGGCTGCCCTTGATCGCTTGCTTCGTCTTTATCGTTTTCCCCGCGGTTGTGCATACCCTGGTGGCCAAGGAAGGAACGCACCAAAGGCAACACGGAGAACGAAGCCTATGCCAAGGAGTACTGCAAGAAGGTGGGATCTTCTATTTTGTTCAACAAGTGTGTCAAACGTGTGGACATGATGACCTGGAGGAATCTGTTAGCAATTAGTGGCGTAATGGTGGTAGCGAGGGGGTTGCCGCACGAGGCGAACGCCAAGGTGCTTAGCATGTCTTTGGGCTGCCAGGTCGCACGCCACCCCGAAACCCTGAAATCACAACATCCAGGTTGAGCAGGAACTGCAGGATATCTGCGACAAGATCCTGGAACTCTTGAGCACAAAGCTGATTCCGAAGGCAACCAGTGGTGAGTCCAAGGTCTTCTACCACAAGATGAAGGCTGACTACTACCGCCACTCAGCCTAAGGGGCAGACCCTAAACCCTAAACCCTAAACCCTAAACCCTAAACCCTAAACCCTAAACCCTAAACCCTAAACCCTAAACCCTAAACCCTAAACCCTAAACCCTAAACCCTAAACCCTAAACCCTAAACCCTAAACCCTAAACCCTAACCCTAGACCCTAGACCCTAGACCCTAGACCCTAGACCCTAGACCCCAGACCCTAGCACCCTAAACCCTAAACCCTAAACCCTAAACCCTAAACCCTAAACCCTAAACCCTAAACCTAACCCTAAACCCTAAACCCTAAACCCTAAACCCTAAACCCTAAACCCTAAACCCTAAACCCTAAACCCTAAACCCTAAACCCTAAACCCTAAACCCTAAACCCTAAGCCCTAAACCCTAAACCCTAAACCCTAAACCCACGTTTGTATAGGCATGCACAGTCATGTATTCGACAACAGCAGCATTAGCACATGTTCCTGATCACAGGCGCCTTGGGCTCAGATCGAAAACTGCAGCTACGGACTTTGTCACTGTGACTCTTGCCCCAGTACCCCGTTTCTGAAAACCCTAAACCCTAAACCCTAAACCCTATACTAAGTGAGGGGTCGCTTCCGTCGAGCGACAGACCCCGACCGAGGGCCTTACAGCCCGAGCGCCCAAGCGAAAAGAGAAACGGAAAGGTGAGGGTTAAGCCTCACCGTCTGTCCTGGACAGGCCAACGGACATCGGCCTTTTTTACGACAACGTCAGTACTCGGCTAAGTGATGGCCGGCACCCAGACCACCTTTAGCGTAGCTAAAGTACAACCCCAAATCGAAACAAGAGTTCAGGGTTTTGGGTTCAGGGTTTGCCTGGCCCCCCCCCTGCCGGGGGGCCCCTTGCCAAGCCCCGGCCAAAGACGCCCTTTCGGCCAAGGGCTCCCCAAAACCAGGGCCAGGGCCAAGGGACCCCCTCCTTAAGGGCCCCTTTTGCCAAAGAACCCTGGGCCCGCGGGCCAAGGGCGGTTCCGGGCCAAGGGACCCGGGCCAAGGGATACCGCACCAAGGCCCCGCCGGGCCAAGGGCGGCCCCAACAAAGGGCGAAGAGGGCCGTACCATCAATGAAACATGTTTTTTTTTTAAAACTGGAACCGATAGTTCCCTCCATTTTACACCAGAAGCGCCAGGAAAGCCCAGGAAGCCCCCAAGAGGCGCCAAGAGCCACCAAAAGGCTTCAAAAGCTTCAAAAGGCCCTCTAAAAGAAGGGGGACCACAAGATTTGTCCGTGCCCACAATGAAAAATGCGATTTTTGAATATTGAAAACGATGGTTTTAGGCACCCCTGCCCGCAATGAAAAATGTTGTTTTTTAGTACTGAAATCGATGGCTTTGGGCACCCCTCCATTTCACCCCAAAAGACCAGGAAAGCCCCAGGAAGCCCCCCAAATCAGCAAGGGCCTCTACGGGCCCTGACGCTACCCCGAACCCCAGCTTAACCCCTAACACCGCAAAACCCTTCAAGCAAATAAGGGCCTCTACGGGCCCTACCGTGCCGAAGGCCCGAAAAGGGCCGAGGCTACCCCGAACCCCAGCTTAAACCCTAGCGATTGAAATACTCATTGGCGAAAAAAACTAATAGGTTCCCTGACCTTCAAATGAATAAAGCCTCTACGGCCCCTGACACGCCGAAGGTCCGAACAAGGCCCCGAGAGACCCCAAGAGCCACCAAAAGGCTTCAAAAGGCTTCAAAAGGCCCCCCTAAAAGGAAACAGGCGCGCAAAAAACCTGGTTGTTTCGTGGACTTTTGGAGAGTTTTCTTTTTATTTTTTTTTCTTTTTTGGGGGGTGGGGGGGGGTGCGGGGGTGTTGGCTACGACCATGTTACTCTATTCATGCCCAAAACACCGGTATTTGCAGCGTTGTTGCTCCTCTACACAACATGCTGCGCCAGGATGTTTGACGTTTATGTAACAAGATGCACTGTCACAAGGCTTATGCGAAAGGTGTGTCGTCATGACGCTCGAACCACTAACAACTGCCAGCAGAAGCAACATAAAAGAACAAAAAACAAAAGTGCACAAAACTGACGCTGGTGTGCATGTCGTAAAACATCGTAAAAGCCATGGTTTTCTGTGCTGGTTTGCCGCCATTGCTGCCTTTCACTAGAACGCCCGAAATGAAAGGAGTGACATGTATAGCTCAGTGTCACAAGACAAAAGTTCGATTTGGTTTTGACAGTGTTTCTTGCTGTGGGACGTCCGGGGGGGTTGGTTGCGACCATGTTCCTCTATCCATGCCGAAAACACCGGAATGTACAGCGTTTCTGCTCCTCGACACAACGTGCTGCACCAGGATGTTTGCCTTTCTGTAACAAGACGCGCTGTCACAAGGCTTATGCGAACGACGCTCGAACCATTATAACAACTGCCAGCAGAAGCAACATAACAGAAAAGCATCAGTAACAACGCACAAAGCTGACCCTTTTGTGCATGTCGTAAAACATCGTAAACTCCATGGTTTTATGTGCTTGTTTGCCGCCATTGTGGCCGTTCACTAGAACGCCCGATTCGAAAGGAGCGATGTGTACTTTTGTTCTCATCTTCAGATTTTTGGGCGAAATGTTATCGCATGTGCAGAAAACGTCGGTTTTAGTGGGTGTTTCAACACTAGCCCATGCTTTCCTAATTCTCTGGTTGTCGGCTTAGCCATGGAGTTGCGAGCACAACGTGCCCAAAACCCGAGCGAAAAGCACGTCGCATGCTTCAAGTCTCCAGGTTTTTTGTGCGCCTGTGACCCCCTAAAAGAGGTACTGAAATCGGTGGTTTTTTCCTTCATTTTACCCCGGCAGGGCCAGGAAAGCCCCCAAAAAGCTTCCCTGACCTTCAAATAAATAAGGGCCTCTACGGGCCCTGACACGCCGAAGGCCCGAAAAGGGCCGAGGCTACCCCCAACCCCAGCTTAAACCCAAACAGCGCAACTTTAAAAACATCAAAGCAAGGATCAGAGCACAAGAAAATAAATTCCATAAACCCTAAACCCTAATAGAGTATAGTTTGTGTGGCCGGGGTGGGTTGACGGGCAACGCGAGCGCGCGGCCCGGGGTGTTTCACACCCGAGCGCGCGCCCTCCCCTGACACACCCTAAACCCTAAACAACCCTAAGCCCTAAACCCTAAACCCTAAAACCTAAACCCTAAACCCTAAACCCTAAACCCTAAACCCTAAACCCTAAACCCTAAACCCTATACCCTAAACCCTAAACCTTAAATTTGGGGTCCAGCCCCCTCAAATTAAGAAATCGAGGGGCTGGATTTCTTAAATTTCAGAAATCGAGGGGCTGGATTTCTGGAATTTAAGAAATCGAGGGGCTGGATATCTTATTGGGAGAATTTCTTATTTTGGGCCAAAACCCTCCAATTTCCTGCGTTTCTTAATTTGAGGGGGGGGGGGGAATTGGGCTGGGCCCCAAATAAGAAATCGAGGGGCTGGATTAATAAAGAAATCGAGGGGCTGGATTTCTTATTTAGGGGGGGGGGGGGGGGGGGGAACCCTCCAATTTAGGCTGGATTTCTTAATTTGGGGGGGGGGGGGGGGGGGGATTGGGCCTGGACCCCAACTTCACTGAATCGAGGGGCTGGATTCTTACATTTAAGAACTCGAGGGGCTGGATTTAATACAGAAATCGGAGGGGCTGGATTTCTTAAATCCCCTTAAAAAAGAAATAATCGAGGGGCTGGATTCCTCTAAAAAAATACCATTTTAAGATCGAGGTGCTAGTTTCTTATTTGAGGGGGGGGAGACTTTTTCATTCGGCGGTTGCCAGAAACAACCAAGTTTAAGAAATTCAGGGCCCAGGATGAGGGTGCCCTCGGTTTCTTAATTTAGTCTTGCTCTCAATTTTAGCATTCTTAATCCGGGATCCAGCCGCGAGCATGCTCGTTTCTTAATCCAATGATTTCTTAATCAGTGCTGTCGTTGTACCCCGCTTCTGGAAACGGATAGCGGAGCTGAGGAGCTCAGTGACACGTTTTTCATTCCTTGCCGCAATCTCGTCCGGAAGAGAGAGCTAAGGGGAATTTGGGTGTGAGCCAGGAGAGCCGAACGAATAGCAGCACTGTCTGTCTACTTGAGGCTTATCGCACTGTGCAAGTCCGACGCAATGTCGGTAGCTGGGCTGAAGTACGACCCTGTACTGAGTTTAGACACCCCAGCAGAAACTAAGTCGGGGAGCTACATTTACAGTGGCTCTGCCGCATCTTTTCACGACTGGGAGTTCCGCGCACGCACACGTGTATCCCAGCATCGTGAAAGAC